CGAGTACCCTTGAGTCACAGGGCATAAGTGAATTTCAAGGAAGGTCAGGCCTCTTTGCTATATCATATTCGCGGTTCGACGCCCGCTGAGGGTGTTGATAAGACCGATGCGAGGTCGAAATAGCAGTCCACTCCAGCCGGTCGCGGTTCGAATCCCGCTGAGGGTGTTGATAAGACCAATGCGAGGTCGAAACTGCAGACCACTGGTGCCTAGGGATGAGAACAACTTTTGGGAAAGCAAGGCTATGTGAAATTCAATGGAAACGTCAGCTTAACTCATATCATCGTGGCCGTCAGCTCAACTCATAGCATTGTGGGAAAATTCTTCTACCAGTCCTTCGTCAACAACTTTTGGTCGAAAAAAGCAAGGTTGAAGGAAACAATTTTTGGGAAAGCAAGGCTATGTGAAATTCAATGGAAACGTCAGCTCAACTCATATCATTGTGGGAAAATTATACTTTGGGAAAGCAAGGCTATGTGAAATTCAATGGAAACGTCAGCTCAACTCATATCATTGTGGGAAAATTCGATTGGGAAAGCAAGGTTATGTGAAATTCAATGGAAACGTCAGCTCAACTCATATCATTGTGGGAAAATTCTTCTACTACCAGTCCTTCATGACCTTAGACGAAATAGGGTGAATATATCTCATATTACTAATTTACTGGTAGTCTTGAAACTCTACTCTAATACGAAAAAAGCTTGAACAAGTCAACGTGGTCCCAGGACCCAAACTTAAGATTACGCAGGGTGGCTCCAAGAGAATATTTCGGTATTTCGTTTTAGTCTAAGCCATAAGAATACTGAGAAGAATTTCGCAATAAAAGGAATCTGAAATAACTGATACCCCTACATTATGCGATTGTATTTGAAGATGTTCTTTTTCAGTATGTTCCGAAACTAAAAGAAATGCTTGAATAAGGACTTCGCTATCCTAAGTTGTTTAAGATGATATAGGGATTGATAATGAGATTTATCCATAATACTATGAGTAGAGCTCACGATGCAATAAAATCTCATTTCATTTTTCCTCACAAACGGTTTTATCATTCAAGCTTGACGACAGTTTCGAACTCACCTGGTATTAATGAGAATTCGCACGGTAATTCGGAACCGGGTCGTGCCTATTGTACATTGTCGAAAATGATGTGCACATCTCCACACGAAAGCATTCAACAACGCCAATGCACACACACACACACACACACACGCAAATGCATATCCCCAAAGCACAGGATGCATGTTTGTAGGCAACAAACACAAGATGACTTGATATCCTAGTCGATTAATGGGTATTTAAGGTAAAGACGATAAATAAACATGGATAATAAAGCCTTTGGAAGTCAATGACATCAATGGACTTACTCATAACGTTGTCAGAAAGACTTCACTATAAGTCCATAAATAACGATGAGCGACTAAGAATGACTGACTTATTATTCAAGAATTAATGCTAATTTTAAATAATAATTGTGCTCATATTATTTATTTTAAGATGATGAAGTACTGGTAATGGAATTTTCCCCAGATAACATGAGTAGGCTCCATGTTTTCATCGAATTGTACATAGCCTTGATTCTCAAAAAGGTACTCTCATCTCGGCTGGAGTTGATTGGACTTCAGTTTCGACCAATTGGTCTTACTAGCACCGTCAAGTGGGACTCGAACAAGGTTGTGGTAGTGCAGCCTATAGTCTCGACACGTTAACCCCTAAGCCATACTGTCACTAGTACCCTCGAGTGAGGGCAGAAAGCCAGGCATAATCTTTTCTCGAAAATCCACTTTGAAAACGATAATAAGTAATGCAGTCGATTGCTATAGCAAATAAAACCATTTCACCGAAGATCCCATAAAAGAAAGTGATATGGAAAAGGCCTGGCCTTCATGCAAATCATTGATTGACTGAAATGAGTTGAAACATGTCGAAATCAGGTCAAGGACACAAGACGAAGTATGAAGCTAGGGAGTATCGGTCAGGATCAATCCATGTCTCAAGACAAGTTTTGGTGACCTTAGCACTAAAAGTTGGAGTTTTCCCATCTCGTATATATGAGCTACTGGAGGTCTCAAAAGCCTGCTCATAAAAAGAGATAGATAAATAATCTAGTCAATTGTCATAGTTAATACAACTTTTTTTCATCGACAATCCCACCACAGAATGTTATATGTAAAAATGCTTCGCCTCCCTTGAAATTGACTTCTGCCCCGTAACATAAGGGCCCTCGTGGCAATGTAGCGTAGTGCACAACCATGGCTCGAGTCCCTCTGGGCGTGCCAATGAGGCCAGTTGAGGCGAGGTCAAGACTGCAGGGGCGCCGCGAAATATTGTACAAGCTTCCATTTGAGAAAATGTGTAGTGATTTGCTGGCTCATCCATCACATTAATTATTAAATATTAATTTAATGTTAATAAAGTTAAAAAAATAATGAAGATACACGAGTTTTATTTTTTTTATCTCTTACTTACGAATAGTCATACTTAGGGTAGAGCGTCATGGGAAAATTTTAATTGAAAAAGGGCGCCGCGACTAGAAAAAGTTTGGGGACCACTGCCTTATGGGAAAGCAAGACTGTGTGAAATTCAATGGGAATATAAGGTCTGGACATATGATTG